TAGGGTTAGAGTTAGGTTTGTGTTTTGGGTTAGAGTTAGGGTGAGTTTTACTGTTAGGATTAAAGTTAGGGTTATTGTTAAGGTTAGCCTTCTGGTTAGGTTTAGGGTTAGTGTTATGGTTATTGTTAGGGTTAGGGTAAGGTTAGTGTTAGGGTTAGTTTAAGAGTTAGGGTTTGGTTTAGGTGTAGTTTTAGGGTTAGTGTTAGGGTTAGGTTAGGCTTAGGGTTCGTGTTAGGGTTAGGTTTAGTGATAGGATTAGGTTTAGGGTTAGTATAAGGGTTAGGGTTAGGATTAGTGTTAGGGTTGATATAGGCTTAGGGTTAGGGTAAGTGTAAGGTTTAGTGTTAGGCTTAATGTTAGAGTTAGTTTAGGGTTAGGGTTAGGGTTGGTGTTAGTTAGGGTTCTGGTTAGGGTTAGGATTGGATTAGGGATTGTGTTAAGTTTAAATTTAGGGTTGGGTTAGGTTTAGTGTTACAATTAGGATTTGGGCTAGAATAAGGGTTATGGTTATGGTTAGGATAAGGTTAGGTTTATTGTTAGGTTTAGGGTTTGTGTTAAGGTTAGATTTAAATTAGGGTTAGGGTTAGTGTTAAGGTTATTTTTAGGGTTAGGGTAAGGGTTAGGGTTAGGTTAGGGTAAGGATTTTTGTTAGGGTTAGATTTAGGGTTAGGTTTAGTGTTAGGTTTAGGGATAGAGTTACAGTTAAATTTAAATTTATCGTTCGGTTTGGGTTAGGTTTAGGGTTAGGGATAGGTTAGGATTAGAATTCAAGTTAGGTTAGGGATAGGAATATGGTTAGGTTTAGGGTTTGTGTTATGGTGAGGGTTAGTTTAAGGGTTGGGGTTCAGGTTAGGAATAGGTTCAAGTTAGAGTTACAGTTAGGATTAGGTTTAGGTTTGTTGTTACAGTTAGAGTTAGCGTAAGGGTTAGAATTTATGTTAGAGTTAGGGGTAGGGTTAGGGTTAGGGTTTCAGTTACAGATAGGAAAAGGTTTGGATTTAGGGTTAGGGTTAAAGTTAAGTTTACTGTCACGGTTACGGTTACAGGTAGGGTTAGGGTTAGGATTAGTGTTAGTGTAAGTGTTATTGTTAGTTTTAGGGTTAGAGTTAGATTTAGGGTTAGTGCTAGGGTTAGATTTACATTTAGGGTTAGCATTAGGCTTAGTTTTCAGGTGACGGTTAGGGATAGGTTAAGTTTTAGGGTTAGGGTTTAGTTTAGGGTTAGGTTTAGTTTTAGGGTTAGGGTTAGGGTAAGTGTTAAGTTTTGTGTTAGCATCAGGGTTAGTGTTAAGGTTAGGGTTACAGTTAGGATTAGGGTTAGGTTTAGGGTTAGAATTAGGGTTAGTGTTAGGTTTAGGATTAGTGTTAGTGTTAGGGTTAGGGTTAGTGTTAGGTTTAGTGTTAGGTTAAGGGGTTGTCTTAGGGTTAGGTTTAGGGATATGTAAAGGATTAGGTTTAGATTTAGGTTACAGTTAGGTTTAGGGTTAATATAAAGGTTAGTGTTAGGTTTAGGGTAAGGGTTTGTGTTAGGTTTAGGGTTAGATTTCGGGGTTGCTTTAGGATTAAATTTAGGGTTAGGGTTAGGGTAATGAATGCAATTAAGTTTAGATTTAGGGTTTGGGTTAGTGTTAGGTTTAGGTTTAGTTAAGTGATAGTGTTAGGGATGGGGTTAGGGTTTGTGTTAGGATTCAGGTTATGGTTAGTGTTAGTTTTAGTGATATGGTTAGGATTAGGGTTAGGGTTAGGTAAGAGTTAGAGTTAGGTTTATGTTATGTTTACGGTTATGGCTTGGGTTAGAGTTTGTTTTAGTCTTAGTGTTAGGGTTTTGGTTAGGGTTAGGGTTAGTGTTAGGTTTAGTGTTAGGGCTGGTGATAGGGTTAGAGATAGGGTTAAAATCAGTTATAGGTTTACTGTTAGTTTTAGGGTTAGTGTTAAGGTTAGGGTTATGGCTAGGTTTAGATTTAGGGTTAGGGTTTCTCTAACAGTTAGAGTTAGAGTTAGAGTTAAGGTTAGAATTTGAGTTTTGGTTAACATTAGTGTTAGTGTTAGGGTTAAGCTTAGGGTTAGGTTTAGGTTACGGTAGGATTAGGGTAAGGGTTTGTGTTATGGTTAGATCTAGGGTTAGGGTTAAGGTTAGCATTAGGGTTTGTATTATGGTTAGTGTTAGGGTTAGGTTTAGACTTACGGTTATGATTAGGCTTAGAGTTAAATTTAGGGTTTGTGTTTGGGTTAGTATTAAGGTTAGGTTTAGGGTTAGTGTTAGGGTTAGGGTTAGTGATAGGGTAAGTGTTAGTGTTAGGGTTATGTTTATTGTTATGGTTAGGGTTAGGGTTATGTTTAGTGTTAGTTTTAGTGTTAGAGTTAGGGTTGGAGTAAGAGTTGTGGTTAGTGTTAGGTTAGGGTTAGTGTTAGGGTTAAGGATCAGGTTTGGGTTAGGGTTCGGTTTAGTTTTAGGGTTAGATTTAAGATTAGGTTTATGGTTAGTGTTCAGGTTATCATTAGGGTTAGAATTAGGATTAGTGTTAGGGTTAGGGTTAGTGTTAGGATTAGGGATAGGGTTAGGGTGAGAGTTAGGGTTAGTGTTAATGTTAGGGTTAGGGTTAGGGTTAGTGTTTGTGTTAGGATTATGTTTATGGCTACATTTAGTGTTAGGGTTAGTGTTAGGTTTTGGTTTAGGGTTAGGATAAGTGTTCACATTAGGGTAAGGTTCATGGTTTTGATAAGAGTTAGGGTTAGGTTTAGTGTTAGGATTAGGGTTAAGGTTAGTGTTAAAGTTAGTTTTAAGTTTAGGGTTTGGTTCATGTTTAGGGTCAGAGTTTGTGTTAGGATTGGTGTTAGTGTTTATATTAACATTATATTAAGTTTAGAGTTAGTTTCAGGATTAAGGTTACATTTAGGATTAGGGTTTGTGTTAGGGTTGCGGATCGGGTTAGGGTTTTGATTAAGGTTAGGGTTAGGGTTAGGTTAGGGTTAGGGTTAGGGTTAGTTTTAGGGTTAGATTTAGGGTAAGGATTAGGGTTAGATTTAGAGTTGGTGTTAGTGTTAGGGTTAAAGTTAAAGTTAGTTTTAGTGTTAGGGTTAAGGTTAGGGTTTGTGTTAGATTTAGAGTTAGTTTTAGGGTTAGGGTTAGGGTTAGGTTTAGGATTATTTTTAGGGTTAGGTTTAGGGTTAGAGATAGGTTTAGGTTTAGTGTTAGGGTTTGGGTTAGTGTTAACATTATTGTTAGTGTTAGGGTTAGGGATAGGGTTAAGGTTAGTATTAGCATTAAGGTTAGGTTTTTGGTAGGGTTCAGTGTTAGTTTTAGTGTTAGAGTTTGTGTTATGATTATGGTCAGTGATAGGTGTAGAGTTACACATAGGAGGTGGGTTCATTTTAGATTAAATTTTAGGTTTAGAGTTAGTGTTAATGTTAGGGTTAGGGTTAGGATTAGTGTTATTATTATGGTTAGGATAAGGTTAGCAATAGGGTTAGGGATAATTTTAGGATTAGTGTTAGTGTTAGGTTGGTAAGGTGTGAACGTCTAGAGCGTTCGGTCCCTGGGTAAGTGTCGCGAGATAACCAGGACACAGGGGATGCAGCGCAAAGGCAGCAATTGCAACTGCATGCTGAGGTTTATTTTCAAGTTCCTTTTATCTACTTCTTCTAACAAAGCAAGCAATTCTTCAATATCACATTACCCACATTGCCCAAATATCATGCCTCAGCGGATACACAGAGCTAAATTCAGATCGTTCCTGTTTATTTGATAAGTACCCTCTTAAAGTTCTTTGTAGACATTATCTAATCCCCTGAGGATGCATTTGTTTCTTTAGAATGTACTGTTCCCAGGATAAGTATGCAGGAAGCTTCTTCCTCTTGGCCAAACCATGCAGAACTTGTGACTTGCGATAAGGGGAAGAGAACTTTTCCTCCTCCTAACTGAGGTTTGCCTCAGCTGACCTAAATCACAGCCACAGCTCTTGCAACATGTCAGGCCTGAGGGAGCTAAACTCTGCACACTCAAATCCCAACAATTCCTTCCTTTTTCTTTTGTTTTTCTAAAACAGTTTTCCACAAAGTTAATATAGCGTTTTGAGATGGTCTTATGCACATGCAATATATAATTACAAACAGGATAATAACTAAGCATAACACTATTCCCACTCCTCCAGCCGTATGGGTAAGACTTTGAGCAATTCCTTTGGGATCTAATCCCTCTAACTGTTTTAAAAACAATTCAGCTATTTGTGCAGCATCATCATGTTGATATCCTTTTCCAAAAATTTCAAATATATCCTTTTGTAAAGAATCAATCATTAATTGAGCTGTTTCATTACCATCAAGATAATTTTGTATGATAATCCATTCATGTAAGCTTTGATTATATCGTACATTAGTTATACAGAAAGAAGTTGAATTCCAGTCACATTTTAATCTAATTTCCTGTTCTAAGGTGAGTATCTTTTTTCTTAACCAATTAACTGTCTGTTTTAAAATATCTATTTGAGTCTGAAGTCTAGAATCAATTTGAGCCTGGGATAGCCATAACTCATGCGAATCTTTATGCCATTCCTCAACAAAATGTTTTGTTTGTAAAGAAGTATGTAAAGCTATCCCTGAAAGTGTAGCAACTGTAGTCACTGCAATAAGACTTAGAATTACAGCAACAACAACTCCCACAAACCGTTTAGTACGTTTTAACAATTGTCTAAAAAATTCCAGAACCAAAGTATTTACAGGATCTTGGGACCATGTTCTTTGTAAATTTACAGGAAGCCAAATGTGAGAGCACTGTTGTAACAGCACAATGGAATAACCAGAAGGAATAGAAACAGATGTATTAATACAGGTATACAATTTACAATTAAAGCATAAAATTCCCTCATCAAAAGTAACATTTCCAATTAAGAACAGGTATGGCATGGGCACACATGTGGTTATATTATATTCTTTAAATACAGTAAAATTATAAGAAGCAGCAGATTGACTAGTCCCAGAGAAAGAGCCATTAGACAAAATTACAGGTTTAGTTGCAGCAGCAATTTTCCATAAATGTGTTTGTAAATGATGAGGGTATTGCACTGAAGCCAAGCGTGGATCAGCAATTCCGCCATCACCCCAGGCCATCAATTTGTCGTTCCGAATGGTTTCATTCCATCTCTCTTTAGGCGGGATTCTGTATGTAGAAGATAAATCACAAGCAGTAATATTCCATTCTGAACAATTTTTTAAGAACATCCCGTAAGGACCCCACATGATAATATTCTGAAATATCTTCCCAAATTTGCCTAAACATTCCTGCCATATGAAAGGGGAGTATCTCAAGTCCTGATAAGTAAAATCGGGGCACTCGGGGAACATAGGGTATTTTTGTTCAGTTATATTATCCCAGGTCATATTGACGGACCATGCAGACAACCGTTGTAAACGTGTTCGAGAACTATTACTCCAATTTCCAACTAGTATCCAATGTTGCCAATCTAATTGTAAGCAAGGAGGAACACCCAAGCATATAGGTTTACTGTTATTATTCTTATAAGTGAAATTAAATGGTGTTCCATCATAAATATTCATATATGTTAAATTGTTCCAAGGGGGAGATAAAAGAGCAGGAGAAGTATATAAGGTAATATCCATGTCACCCCAAGTAACAGGTTCCAGCAAAGGTGGATTGGGAATATAGGCCCAATAGTGAGTATTATTATTTTGTACCTCAGAAGCAGAAGACACTGTCAATAATGCACACATGGCCAGAAATAAATTTTCTGGGGTGCAACTCTTCCCTGTTCGTTGCAGCACCTTTTGCCCTTCCCCACTCAGCTTTTTAATTTGACCCCACGTAGGTAAGGGAGAGAAATTAGGACGTCGACGACGTCGGGCCCCAAGATGAAGATGTGCCATTGCTGCCACCGGAACATCAAGCTCAGGATCTTGATTCCTCGGCTGGGGTAATGGATAGGGTGCCCCCCTTGGTGCCATTCTGATTGTGACGGGTCTGGATCCACCGCCCTGGGAGCCACTGCCGGTGTCCATTTTCTGTTGAAACATAAGCATAGCCCTTTCCTCTATAAAGTAAAATCCCTGGCTGCCATTCAGCATCTGCAGCAATTTTTATCCAAATTGGTTCATGAACTGTTTCTAAGGTTTTTTGCTCAAAATGTCGTTCTGCTCTTGTCAATATTTCTCCTTGTGGAAGATTAAGAAAATTTAAAATAAATAAGGCTTGATGTAACAATGCTTTAGGTTGATTTTGTAAATGTCTAAACAAGTGCATATTTAAATCTGTCATTTTCCTCCTTTTTAATTTTTTAATTTGTGTTTTAAGCGTAGCATGTACACGTTCTACTAAAGCTTGTCCTTGTGGATTATATTCTATTCCAGTTAGATGAACAATATCATATAATTTGCAAAAATCTTTAAAATTTTTACTAGTATAAGCCGGACCATTATCAGTTTTAATCATAGCGGGAATTCCCATAATAGCAAATGTTTCCACTAAGTGTTGAATAACATGACGGGTGGTTTCTCCAATTTGAGCGGTAGCCCACAAAAATTTAGAGTATGTGTCAATAGTAACATGAACACAAGAATAACGTCCAAACAAGGGAACATGTGTAACATCCATTTGCCATAATTCATTAGGTTGAATCCCTCTAGGATTTACTCTGGAAGGTACAATCCTAAGATGTAAAGGTCGACAAACTGGGCAATTTTTAATAATTTGTTTTGCTTGTTTATATGGAATCTTATATTTAATGTGTAAATGTCTGGCATTAGAATGAAACAGATTATGTTCTTCTTGAGGAGTTTTGAACATCACTAATTTGTCTACCTGAGCATTACCATATGTCAAAAATCCTGGTAATTTAGAGTGTGATCTAATATGATCTATAAATATGCGAGCATTATGAGCTTGTAAAAGTTTTTGTAAAGTAAGAAAAAGATTTTGTAGAGTAGGTTTATTAGAATAGGCTACTGCAGTAAATATATTTTTAACTACTCCCATCGTGTATGCAGAGTCAGTAAGAATGTTAATGTCTTGATTATCAAAATCATTTAAAACTTGAATGACTGCAAATAATTCATTTTGTTGGACAGATTGATAGTTTGTTATTTGAACCCAATATTGATTCTCTGTCCAATAAGCACTTTTAGTTTTTGATCCATCAGTAAACACAGTAACAACATTGTCTAAAGGATATTCACTAATAATATTATTGATTACAAATCGTTGATGTTTTAGCATGTCCCATAATTTGCCCTTGGGGAAATGATAGGAAATACCTCCGGTATATTCAGCCAATGCTATTTGTAGCATTTCAGTCATTTGTACCAAGTAAGTCCATTGGTCTTTAGGTAATGGGGTAATTATGTGAGAAATGTCATTGCCCGTCAAAGTTATACTTCTCTGTCTTCCTTGTTCAATTAATAATGCGATCTGGTCAGCATATGGCATAATATTTTTGGAGAATCTATGTTTTGTATAAATCCATTCTAAAGGAAGCTCATGCTGTCCCAGAACTGCAGTAGGATATTGAAATGTATTTAAGATATAAAGAGAAATAGGGGCTTGCAAATCTATTCTCTGAAGGAATGCATTTTTAATGCGTTGTTCTACAAAGGTCAATTCATCAGAGGCTTCTTTAGTGATTATATGAGAGCTATTAAGTGCAGAATCTCCTTGTAACAATGAAAACCAATGACTTAATTGATAAGTAGGTATCCACAAAGAAGGTCGTAACCAATTAATATCCCCTAATAATTTTTGAAAATCATTAAGTGTTTTTAAATTATCTCTCCTGATTGATAATTTTTGAGGAATTATCTTTTGTCTAGTAACTGTATATCCCAAGTAATTGATGACATCCTCCTTCTGTATCTTTTCAGTTGCAATTATTAGACCATAAGGTTGAAAATAAATTGGCAATTTTTGTAATAAGTCATCAAGTTCCTGTTTATCAGGTCCTGAAAAGAGAATATCATCCATATAATGAGAAATATATAACTGAGGCCAATTTTTACGGATAGGTTTTAATACTGCATCAACATGAATTTGACACATTGTAGGGGAATTCATCATTCCTTGGGGTAATACTTTCCATTGATACCGAAGATGAGGTCCTTTATGATTAATTTGCGGTAAAGAAAAAGCAAAACGCTTATGATCAACAGGATGAACAGGAATGGTAAAGAAACAATCCTGTAAATTAATAACTACAATATGCCAATCTTTTGGTAACATAGCGGGAGAGGGGATTCCAGGTTGTAAAGCCCCCATGGGGTACATGGAATTATTCACTTCCCTTAAATCAGTTAATAATCTCCATTTACCAGACTTCTTTTTTATGACAAATATAGGTGAGTTCCATGGGGATGTAGAGAATTCGATATGACCTTGTTGTAATTGTTCCTTGACCAACAGGTGAGCAGCATCTAACTTTTCTTTTGTTAAGGGCCGTTGTTCAATCCATAAAGGGTCCTCGGATTTCCACATAATTTTCAGTGGCTCCATCTAGAATTGGTTAAAATTGAATATAAGCTCCCCATTGTTCTAAAATATCCCTTCCGATTATATTAAGAGGAACTTCTAGAATGTAGGGTTTTAATACAGCTATTTGTCCATCCTCTGATTGAATAGTTATATGGTTTAAAGCTTGGCCAATACTTTGGATGGGAGCCAAGCTAACTCCCTTAATCTGACAGGGTATAATTTGATACTGAAGCTTAGACGGCCAATCTTGAGTTTTTATTATAGTAATATCAGATCCTGTATCAATTAAAGCAGTAATCATTTTAGTCCCTAGCTTTACTTTTATAAGGGGTTGCATTTTAGTAATTTGTGTGGCCCAAAAAACACTTTGTGTGTCAGTACTGCCAAATCCGCCCTGCCTCTGATTAGAGGAATCCCCTATAGGGAGATAAGGTAATAAGAGAAGTTGGGCAATTCTTTCTCCTTTGGAAAAATGAACATCAGCAAGAGAAGACATTAAAATCTGAATTTCTCCTTCATAGTCTGCATTGATAATGCCTAAATGGACAGTAATACCTTTAGCATTAAGGCTGGAGCATCCTGTGAGCAAAGCAAAAGTCCCTGGAGGTAGTGGCCCAAATATTCCTGTAGGTATTCTTTTAGGCATAGCACCACCCTGGAGATCAAAATCACTTAAGGCTGGGATGTCCACGGCGGCACTATGTTGGGTTGCAGGTTGTAGGGAAAAGATTGTGGGTTGCCCCCGTTTATTTGTCCAGGGCCTGGGGTCCGGCCCGATGGACCGTTTCCCTGAACTGCAAGAGTGGCTGCATTTTTCGTTCTACATTCTCGAGCCCAATGTTTACCCTTTTTGCATTTAGGACATATTCCGGGTCCCCTAGTTTCCTTATCATTCTTTCGCTTACAATTTTTCCTCAGATGTCCAGTCTGGCCACACCCAAAACACTTCATGTTAGCCAAATTTCGATTAGTATTCTGCAAAGCATGCCATGTAGAGGCCATGGTTTCAGCAAATAATTGCATCTTTCTCGATTCTGATGTTATATCTTTGCACACCTTTAAGTATGTATGAATATCTCCTGTATCTTTAATCGGTAAAATGGCTCATCTACAATCTTCATTAGCATTTTCATAAGCCAGCAAATGTAGTAATTGTTGCCTGGCAGCCTCTCCTACCACGGTTCGTTCAATTGTCAATTTTAATCTAGATAAAAATTCTACATAAGGTTCATTGGGTTTTTGTGAAACTTTTGTCCATGAGCCATAATGTTCTCCAGTAGGTCTAATTTTGTCCCAAGCTTCTAAAGCTATTTCCTTCAATTGCTCATGAATCTCAGGAGGAATATTAATTTGATGTTGAATGTCATCATACATACCAGTGCCAGATAACATAGGGTATCCTATAGCACGAATAACAGGGTTTTGACTGTTACCATTTTCTCTAGCCTTAGTGGCACATCCTTCTAAAAACCACATGTGCCATTGAAGATATTCAGGTTCCTGTAGAAGAGCACGGCCCACAATCTTCCAATCCTCAGGAGAAAAATTATTATAATGAGTAGCAAAAGCATTAAGCAATGCTTTTACATAATGGGATTGAGGTCCGTACATTGTCACTGCCTTTTTTAATCTGCTAATATGATCAATATCAATCCCCTCATACCGAGGTGGCTGTGCCATTCCATTAGCTGGATCAGGCCTGATTATAGGAAAAGCAAAGAAGGGAGTTTCGTCCTCATCATCAGAAGGTTCTGAGTCCATTTCCTGGACAGCCTTTAAAGAAGCTGCCAAAAAAGGATTGGTGGCCGGAGGGGCAGAGGGCCTGGTTCCCGATAAAGGCTTAGGGTCCATTTTAGCTTCTAATTTATTAAGACGTCCCAGAACCTCCTCCATAACAAGTTTGAATTGCTCCAGAACAGAGCAATCATCAATCGTCGTTTTTACTTTCATTTTCTTTTCTGTAGCATTACCAATTAAATCAGCAGAATTTTGTGAAGAGTTATGAGTCAATTTTTGCATATCTTCTACTACCTCTTCTTTTTCACTAATATCCAGAGGGAGATCTAGAATAGAGGGAGCTAGCTCCTTTTGTAAATTGCCAATCAACCTTTCTTCCTCCATAGCTTTAAACATTGTATATAAAATAGACCAGATAGACCAAAACCGAATTGGAATTTTTTCACCTTGCCTCATGGCCTTTTCAACATTGTGATGGACCCGTTTCCAATTATCTACATCCATAGATCCTTCCTCCAGGAACCAGGGATTCCATTCCCTGACCACCTTAAGACACATCTCTATATCAGAATGGGAAATATTAATACCATAGACAGCAAGTGAATGCCTAAGAATACGTAAAAAAGGAGAAGATGAAGATTGTCCCATCACCCTGTAATATAAAGAAAAAGAACTTACCCTTCCTGTCAATCCAGCAGGGTCCCTGTTCAGGCACCAATTGTGAACGTCTAGAGCATTCGGGTCCCTGGGTAAGGGTCGCGAAATAAGCAGGACACAGGGGATGCAGAGCAAAGGCAGCAATTGCAACTGCATGCTGAGGTTTATTTGCAAGTTCCTTTTATCTACTTCTTCTAACAAAGCAAGCAATTCTTCAATATCACGTTACCCACATTGCCCAAATACCATGCCTCAGCGGATACACAGAGCTAAATTCAGATTGTTCCTGTTTATTTGATAAGTACCCTCTTAAAGTTCTTTGTAGACATTATCTAATCCCCTGAGGATGCATTTGTTTCTTTAGAATGTACTGTTCCCAGGATAAGTATGCAGGAAGCTTCTTCCTCTTGGCCAAACCATGCAGAACTTGTGACTTGCAATAAGGGGAAGAGAATTTTTCCTCCTCCTAACTGAGGTTTGCCTCAGCTGACCTAAATCACAGCCACAGCTCTTGCAACATGTCAGGCCTGAGGGAGCTAAACTCTGCACACTCAAACCCCAACAGTAAGGTTTAGGGTTAGTGTTACGGTAAGTGTTAGGATTAGGGTTAGAATTAGGGTTAGGTTTATGGTTAGGTTTGTGGAGAGTTTTACAGTTAAGTATATGGTTAGGGTTAGTTTGGGGGTTAGAGGTAGTGTTAGGGTTAGAGTTTTTGTTAGGTTTAGTCTTAGGGTTAGGGTTTGGGTTAGGGTTAAGAGATAGTGTTTCAGTTAGGGTTAGGTTTAGTATTAAGGTTACAGTTAGAATTAGGGTAAGGTTTAGTGTTAATGTAAATTTTATGGGTAGGGTTAGTGTTAGGGTAAATGTTAGGGTTAGCGTTAGATTTACGGTTAGAATTAGTGTTAGGTTTCGTGTTAGGCATAGGGCTAGTGTAATGGTTAGGCTTACAGTTAGGATTAGGGTTAGAGTTAGGTTTAGGGTTAGGGTTGGTGTTAGGGTTAGTGTTCAGGTTAGTGTTAGAGTTAGTGTTATGTTTAGGGTTATGGTTAGGTTTAGTGTTAGGGTAAGGGTAACGGTTAGGGTTAGGGTTAGTGTTAGGGATTTGGTTAGGTTTAGGGTTCGGGTTAGGATATGTGCTGGGGTTAGGGTTAGGGATAGGATTTGTGTTAGGGTTAGGTTTAGGGTTATGGTTGGATTATGATTTGAGTTAGGGTTACAATTAGGTTTAGGGTTGGTGTTAGGTTTAATGGTAGCTTTAGGGTTAGAGTTAGGGTTAGGGTTAGGATTAGGGTTAGTGTTAAGTTTAGGTTTATGGTTAGGGTTAGGGTTAAGATTAGGGTTACTTTTAGTTTTGGGGTTAACATTACAGTTAGGTTTAGGTTTAGTGTTAGGGTTAGGGTTAGTGTTAGGTAAGTGCTAGGGTTAGGGTTAGGGTGAGGGTTAGGGTTAGGGTTAGTGTTATTTTTAAGTTTATATTTAGGGTTAGGGTTAGCGTTAGGGTTACTGTTAGGGTTGCTGTTAGGGTTAGTCTTAGAGCAAGAGTTAGGTTTAGCGTTAAGCTTTGTGTTACAGTTAGGGTTAGGTTTAGGGTAATTGTTAGGGTTAGGGTTAGGGTTACGGATAGAGTTAGTGTTTTGGTTAGTGTTAGGGTTACCGATAAGTTTATGGTTAGGTTTAGTGTCAGGGTTAGCTTTATGGTTTGAATTAGGTTTAGGGTTAGTGTTTGTGTTAGGGTTAGGGTTAGCATTAGGTACGGGTAAGGGTTACGGATAGATTAGGGTCAGGATTATGGTTGGGTTAGGGTTTGTGTTAGGGTTAGAGTTAGAGTTAATGTTAGTGCTAGTGTTATGGTTATGGTTAGGATTCATGTTAGTGTTAAGGTTCGGATTAGATTTAGGGTTAGTGTTAGCGTTAGGTTTAGGTTTAGGGTTTGGGTCGGTGTCGGGCTTAATGAAATGGTTAGGGTTAGGGTTAGTGTTATGGTTATGGTTAGGGTTAGGTTTAGTGTTCGGGTTAGTGTAAGGGTTTGCGTTAGGGATCATGTTAGGTTTAGGAATAGGTATGAATTAGTGTTACGGTTAGGGTTATGGTTAGGATTAAGGTTAGGGTAAGGGTTAGGATTATGGTTAAGTTTAGTGTTAGGGTATGGGTAAGGGTTAGGGTTAGTTTAGTTTTAGGTTTAGGTTTACAAAATGAGTTAGTATTAGTTTTAGGGTTAGTGTTAGCTTTAGGGATATGTTTAGGATTACATTAGGTTTAGTGTTAGTGTTAAATTTTGCATTAGTTTTAAAGTTAGGGTTAATGGTAGGGTTAGATTTAGGGTTAGGGTTAGTATTAGGGTTAGGTTTAGGGTTAAGTTTAGGGTTAGAGTTTGGGTTAAGTTAAGGGTTATGATTAATGTTAGGGTGAGTGTTAGGTTAAGAATTAGGGTTCATGTTAAGGTTAGGGTTAGGGTGAGTGTTAGGGTTAAGGTTAGGGTTAGGTTTTGTGTTACTGTTTGTTTTAGGGTTAGGGATAGTGATAATTATAATATCAGGTTAAAGATAGGTTTAGAGTTAGTGTGATGGTTACAGTTAGGTTTAGGGTTAGTATTTGGTCAGAGTTAGGCTTCGGGTTATGGTTAGTGATAGGGTAGGATTAGGGTTAAGGTTATTGTTAGTTTAAGAGTTAGGGTTAGGGTTTGAGTTAGGATTAGGGTTAGAGTTCTTATTAGGTTTAGGGATAAAGTTAAGATTAGGTTTGTGTTAGGGTTGATGTTACTGTTAAAATTTGTGTTAGGGTTAGTGTTAGCGTTATGGTTAGGATTAGGTTTAGGGTGAGGGTTAGTGTTAGAATTAGGGTTAGGGTTAGGGTTACTTTTAGGGTTAGGGTTAGAGTTAAGGTTAAAGTTACTGTTAGGGTTAAGGTAAGGGTTAGGATTAGGGTTAGGGTTAGTTTTAGTTTTCAAATATGTGATTTTGTTAGGGTTCGGTTTCGGGTGAGTGCTAGTGTTAGGGTTAGGGTTAGGTTTGTGTTATGGTTAGGGTTAGGGGTAATTATAGTGTTACAGTTAGGAATAAGTTAGAGTTAGTGTTACAGTTAAGTTTAGTGTTAGTGTTAGTGTTAGTGTTAGTGTTAGTGTTAGGGTTAGGGTTATGGGTTGGGTTATGGTTAGGTTTATGGTTAGTGTTATTTTTAGGGTTAGTGTTATGGTTAAGGTTAGGTTTAGGGTTAGTGTTAGGGTTAGTATTAGGTTAAGGGTTAGGTTTACCTTTAGTGTTAGGGTTAGTGTTAGGGTTAGGGTTAGTCAGTGTTAGGGTTAGGGTTAGAGTTAGGGTTAGGATTTGTATAAGGACTAGGGTTAGGGTAAGTGTTAGGGTTACCAATATGATTAGGTTTATATTTCAGGTTAGAATTAGGGTTAGATTTACTGGTAGGATTATAATTAGGTTTAGAGTTACAGTTAATGTTAGTGTTAGGGTTAGGTTTAGAGATATGGTTAGCGTTATGGTTAGGGTTATGGTTAGTGTTAGGGTTATTGTTAGGTTTGGGGTTATGTTTAGTTTTGGAATTAGTGATGGGATTAGAATTGGGTTAGGTTTATTGTTAGGTTTAGTGTTACAGTTAGGATTAGGATAGGGTTAGGGTTAATGTTAGTGTTAATTTTTGTGTTAGGGTTAGTGTTAGGATTAGGTTTACGGTGACTTTTAAGTTTAGGGTTAGGGTTAGGGTTAGTATTATGGTTAGGGTTAATGTTAAGTTTAGGATTAGAGTTAGAGTTAAGGTAAGGGTTAGGATTAGGCTTAGTGTTAGTGTTAGTGTTAGTGTTAGAATTAGAGTTTGTGTTAGGTTTTGGGTTAGGGTGATTGGTAGTGTTAGAGATAGGGTTAGAGTTAGGTTTGTGTTAGGGTTATGGTTAATTATACTGTTAGGTTTAGTGATAGGCTTGGAGATAGTTTTAAGGTTATTGTTAGGGTTAGGTTTATGGTTGGGTTTATAGTTAGTGTTAGAAGTAGGGTTATGATTAGGGTTAGGGTTAGGGTAAGGGTTAGGTTTAGGGTTAGTGTTACATCGATGTTCATAGCAGCACAATTCACAATAGCAAGACTGTGGAACCAACCTAGATGCCCTTCAATAGATGAATGGATAAAAAAATGT